AGAAGCCTATATCAAAGTATACAGCTGCAAATGAAAGTATACAAGTATGATAAACACCGAGAACTTACTTCGATGGAGCCTAGTCAAATCAATTTTTCTAAACCTCAGTTTACTATTTGCAAAGCAGGATAATAATACAGAGGATTGTTATGAGGGTTAAGTGAGGTAAACAAGTGAGGCTACTTTATAAGCTGTATGAATATAATATAGGAAAGTATCAGGGACGAAAGCTTTAGGAACTGGTAAATAATTTCACTTAACAAAACTAGGGATTGATTATCAAGTTACCTAGATAGCAATGGGATAACACCATTAATATACTTCCTTTCTTCCAATAAAATAATTTTACATTTGAAACCACCAAGGTAAATTCTCCATTCTTCCCCAAAATAAGCTCACTAGCCATGTTTGTGTGTAGGCTTCTGGGCTACAATGGTTTCACTGGCAGTAGGGCAGGTGCTGTCTCTTCTTTTGTACAACCCGATGCACTAAATGGATTGCTCAGACAGTCCCAATGTTTATACTTACATGCAAGGATATCAAATAGCTTATGAGATACAGTAATACGTACTTCCTTTCAAGGATATCAAATTGCTTTTGAAACACAGTAACAGTGGATCTATCCAAATCTTCTCTACCATTCAGAGAATAACCTTATAAAGGATCACATTAACTGCTTAAGAAGGAAACCATCATGACATAGAAAAGAGATAGAATGAAAAAGAATTTGCTTTCTCAATGTGCTTTGGTAGCCAACTTCAATAAGTATAATTACCACTTTATAGAACAGCAATGACATTTGTAAGTAGATTATGGTTTTTATATTTAAAGAAATTATCAATTTAGTATATAAGTAATATAATATAATTAAATTATATAATTAATATAATTATATATGTATGAGCTAATGTGTATGAAAAATTTCTGTATTTCAAGAAAGCCTCATACATTGCAGAATAAAAGGAAATCCATTTGGACTCTGTAAAACTTTATTCCTAAAACCTTGGTGTTGATAGGCAATTCATGTGGCAGAAAATTTGTAATTAAATAGCATAGAATGTTCCTAAATGTCAGGATTTCCACATGCTTTACAGTCTGTCTTACTGGGACTATTAAATGAATTTTTATGGGTAAATTTAAAGAATAACAAGGGCTCTGAAAGACCTCATCTATACCGTCATCAAAGTTCTCATATTACATATTGGCCAGAATGTTTCCAATAAGTCAGAGATGCTTTCAAAACTAACTTTCAACCTGAAAAAAATCCTTGAAGTTATGGGAAAACAGGAATAATGTATAAAATAATTCAGTTCAGTTCAACAAACATTTCTAGAGAGTTTCCGATGTGCCACCTACTACATTTACCAAAAAACGAACAAACCAACCAACCCATTACTGTCAAGTCGATTCTGACTCATAGTGACCCTACAGGAAAGACAGAGCCCTGGCGGCACAATGGTTAAGAGTTTGGCTGCAACGAATAGATAGATGCACACCCATGTTCACTGCAGCTAGGTTCGCAATAGCAAAAACATGGAAAACAACCTAGGTGCCCATCAACGGATGAACGGATAAACAAATTATGGTATATTCACACAATGGAATACTATGCAACGATAAAGAACAACAATGAATCTGTGAAACATCTTATAACATGGAGGAATCTGGAAGGCATTATGCTGAGTGAACTTAGTCACAAAAGGACAAGTATTGTATAAGACCACTATTATAAGAACTCAAGAAAAGATTTAAACACAGAAGAAAACATTCTTTGATGGTTATGAGGGTAGGGAGGGGGAGAGAGGAGTACTCACTAACTAGATAGTAGACAAGAATTATCTTAGGTAAAGGGAAGGACAACACGCACTACAGTGGAAGTCAGCACAACGGGACTAAACCAAAGCTAAAAAGTTTCCTGAATACAAACACTTCGAGGGACAGAGTAGCAGGGGTGGGGGTCTGGGGACCATGGTTTCAGGGGACATCTAGGTCAACTGGCATAACAAGATTCATTAAGAAAATGTTCTGCATCCCACTCTGTTGAGTGGCGACTGGGGTCTTAAAAGCTAGCGAGTGGCCATCTAAGATGCATCAATTGGTCCCAACCCACCCGTAGCAAAGGAGAATGAAGAACACCAAAGATACAAGGAAAGTATTAGCCCAAGACACAGAAAGGTCCACATAAACCAGAGACTTCAACAGCCTGAGACCAGAAGAACTAGATGGTGCCTGGCTACCACCAATGACTGCCCTCGAGGAATACAATAGAGAGTCCCTGATGGAGAAGGAGAAAAGTGGGGTGCAGAACTCAAATTCTAGCAAAAAGACCAGACCTAATGGTCTGATTGAGACTGCAGGGACCCCGGAAGACATGGCCCCTGGACTCTGTTAGCCCAAAACTAAAACCATTCCCAAGGCTAATCTTCACACACAGATTAAACTAGACTGTGGGACATAAAATGATACTCGTGAAAAGTGTGCTTCTTAGCTCAAGTAGACGCATGAGAACAAATGGGCAGCTCCTTTCCAGAGGTGAGATGAGAAGGCAGAGAGGGTAAGGAGTTTGCTGAACAGACATGGGAAATCTGGGGTGGAGAGGAGGAGTGTGCTGTCACAGTACAGGGAGAGCAACTAGGGTCACATAACAATGTGTGTATACATTTTTGTATGAGAAACTAACTTGAATTCTAAACTTTCACTAAAAGTACAATTTAAAAAAAAAAAAAAGCATTTGGCTGCTAACCAAAAGGTTGGCAGTTCAAATCCATCAGTTGTTCCTTGGAAAACCTATGAGGTAGTTCTACTGCATCCTTCAGTGTCGCTATGAGTTGGGATGGACTCGACAACAGGTTAATATAAAGATGGAGCCCTCGTGGTGCAATGGTTACATGTTCAGCTGCTAACCATAAAGGTCAGTGGTTCAAACCCACCCAACAGCTCCAAGTGAGAAAAGACCTGGTGCTCTGCTCCCATAAAGATTACAGCCTAGGAAACCCATTGGGAAAGTTCTGCTCTGTCCTATAGGATCACCATGAGTTCGAACTGACTCGATGGCACACAACAACAGCAGAAGAGAGAATATTACCCATCCGACTCCAGTTCAGAGATACGAAGGTGTAGAGGAGAGAGCAGCTTCCCACAAGAGGGAAGCAAAAGTGGTCTGAGAAGAGGCTGAGGGTACTGAGGAGTTCATTGTGAAAACGGAGCATAATTTTCAGAGATAAGAATGGAGAAGTTTGAGAGGGAGATGAACAGAACAAGGAAAATAAGAGTAGAAAGAGAAGAAAAACAGGTATAGAACTGGTGCTATTGAGACCTAAATTTTGGATGGTGCCAGAGGGTGACAGGGATGAAAGATGTGGCTGTAACACCTCGTCCTCAAGGTTCCCAGCCTTAATATAAAGCTGTTTTGGGTATGTGAGAGCCAAGACTGAGAGCCCCAGAGTGTCAGACCGTGATATGTCCTTGCTGGTACTGACACACAGCCACAGATGATTCCAGGTACTCGTGGTTCTTTTACTGCATCCAAGAATTCTTTTTTATTTAAATAAATTTTGATACTGTTTAAAACCTCTTTGTGAATGCGTTTACGTATCTGGTAAAGCAAAGTTTTAATCAAGAGTAAAAACAAATTTTTAGAAGTCCACTGGGGTAGAGTACTAAAAATATTTATTAACATTGTTCTTTAAGCTCAGAAATGGTTTCCAGGAATGTCTGTGTTAGAAGGACTTTAAAAATCCATTTGATTTACTCTCCTAACCCCAAAGACTCTATTTCCACCCTAAAAATAGTTTGTTTCTCTGGGGAAGGCAAATACAACTTTAACAAGATGGAAAAGGCAATTACAATCTTCAAAAGCAATCTATTCTACTACTTCATAAACCTTAGCTGAGGAAGTGCTTTCAGTTGTTTGCTCAAAAGCTTTTGATCAAATTCCACTTTCTCTGGTTCTGTCCAAGAGGAATAGCTGGGAAATGATAAATTTGTAAGTATTCTTCAAATAACCTATAGTTTACCCTTTTCCGCCCTGCTGAAGACTTTCCTCTTGGGTCCAATTTGATAAAATCCTAAAGATTAGCCTATCATAAAATACAGCTTAAAGCTGTACCTTGGTTAGAGCAGAAGAATGATCAGGGTTCTTCCTAATACATATACAATGGCTTGAAGGGTGATCTAGCCAAGACACCTGCCACTTCCTTTTTGTCAGGGCTAATTAGTCTAACATGGCATGCCAGTTTACTGCTTTCCTTCCTCTCTTTCACACCTCACATATGTCCCTCCTGAAACAGTGTATCATGGTAAGTTTTAAACTAACTCTGTACTTTATCATAAAAGAAATGATAACCATTAGCTATCATTTACTGCTCTTACTCTGTGCCAGATACTATGCCAACTGTTTTACATAGAATCTCATTTAATCTTCACAACCATCTGTATAAAATAAAATATGGTGATCCACCTTTTAAAATAAGTTAGAATGAGCCCGTTTGGACTCTCGCGTAACATTTTTAACTCACAGACACTGATGAATAATAAATGAATAGCTAAAAAAAGATTCTGATTATCTGAGTATTAATCCCAACTTCCCTTATTAAATATTAAGTCAAACCCACTCTAAAATAGTTCAATTATCAGATGTGAGTGTCACCTCCTTTCTGAGTCCTCATCCCTTTTGAAAGAAGTACGAACATGTTTCCAAATGGACAAAAGAAAAAAGAGGGTGAAAAGCAAGTCATATATGAAATTGATTAAACTAATTTAGTAATATTTATTTCCCATTCGTAAGGAAGTTTTATGAAAATATTTGTTTTATAAAATACATTCACAGTACTGATATTTTGAAAAATATTTTTAATTTTGCCTAAGTGGCTTTTTTCCTAAATGCTTTTCAGCACAAATCAGAAGGATGTAAATACATGTTTTAAAATAATATGATAGACACTGTCGAAAATAGTTTTATCTTTCACAATGCCAAGAAATATCATAGCAGTAGTACTTACCTCCTTTGCACTCTTAATTTTAGTCAGAAAGGTGTACAGCTCCATTGTTTCTGCAAACAGTGCCCGACATACTGCCTGATAATGATTTGGAGCCTCTGATTCAGTTGGGAGATGAGCAGCACATAACTACAAGGAGGAAATTAAAATGACAGTGCTTATTTGTTATTTTGGGGTTTTGGTACCTTAAAAACTGACACACTTGTTATATCCATATTTTCGTATCAGAAAGCAAGGCAATTCCGATCATCAAAGGCTTAATACATCATAAGACCATCAGTAAGGTCTATAAAATTATGTGGGAAAAGTGGGCCACTAACACAAGATCCAACAGCACATATGAGCTTACTGGAATCAGTTAGCTGTTATTTAAAAATTATCAGAGATATGTCAAAATTTTCATTGGGAGCAGAAACAGTACTACGATGTATTGAGTATTAATCATAACTCAGGTATTTTAACAGCTATTATGTACTGAGATAGATACATTCATTCATTCAGGAGGTCCCCGGTTGGCACAGTTTGTGCTCAATTACTAAAGGCCAAGAAGCTATGGTGGTGCAATGGTTAAGCAGTTGGCTGCTAAATGAAATGTCAGTGGTTTGAACCCACCAGCCACTCTGAGGAAGAAAAGACCTGGTGGATCTGCTACTGTAAAGATTAGAGCCTAGAAAACCTCATGGGGCAGTTCTACTCTGTCACATTAGGTTGCTACGAGTTGGAACTGACTCGCCAGCACACAACTACAGTGGTTTGAACCCACCAGTAGCAACGTGGAAGAAAGACCTAGTGGTCTGCTCTGTAAAGATTACAGCCAAGAAAACCCTACAGAGAAGTTCTATTCTATTACAAATGTGGTCATCATGAATTGGAATTGATTCAACAGCAGTAGGTTTGGTTTATTTTTTTAATTTACTGAGTATTTATCATCTGCTAAGTATTATATTTGACATGTCAAATACAACATGACAGCATACTATCATTTACTTCTCAGTACTCATTGCCACCGAGTCGATTCCGACTCATAAGGACCCTACAGGACACAGTAGAACTGCCCCATAGGGTTTCCAAGGAGCGGCTGGTGGATTCGAACTGCTGACGTTTTGGTTAGCAGATGAGTTCCTAACCACTGGGTAACCAGGGCCCCTACTCCTCAATATAAGCCTGAATTATCCCATTTTACAGTGAAGGAAACTGAGACTAAGAAGAACCCAGTGACTTACCCAAAGTTAGGCATACGCATTAAAAAGCTATAAATTTTCCCTGAATTTTTTACTATTATTCAGTAAATCTGACACTAATACACTTGCTGAAAATATACATTTTGTTATATTTTAATGATTTCTGTTGAAAAGTAAAACATGTTGTCTTAGTTATCTAATGCTGCTATAACAGAAATACCACAAGCGGATGGCTTTAACAAAGAGAAATTTATTTCCTCACAGTAAAGTAGGCTAAACTTCCAAATTCAGGGCATCAGCTCCAGGGGAAAGCTTTCTCTCTCTATCGGCCTTCTCATCAATCTTCCCCTGGACTAGAAGCTTCTCCGTGTAGGGACCCTGGGTCCAAAGGATGCACTCTGCTCCAGGCACTGCTTTCTCGGTGGTATGAGGTCCCCAATTCTCTGCTTGCTTCCCTTTCCTTCTATCTCCTGTAAGATAAAAGGTGGTGCAGGCAACACTCCAGGGAAACTCCCTTTACACTGGATCAGGGATGTGAGCTGGGGAAGGGCAGTGTTGCAATCCCACCCTAATCCTCTTTAATGTAAAATTACAATCACAAAATGGAGGACAACCACACAATACTGAGAATCATGGCCTAGCCAAATCGATACACACATTTTTCTGCGGACATAATTCAATCCATGACAGATGTCTTTGTATTCTGTAGTATCTTTCACAATGTAGCTTTTTGTTGCTTTAATTTGTAATAAGCTTCTTATGCATTTTAACAGTCTTTTATAAAATACATTCTCAAAAAAAAAATATTGAGTTTGAGTAGATAACCATTTCAACAGTATCAAAGACAGCCTAAGAACTGATTCATTAGGAATCACAAAAGCAAAACTCTCACAAGTTTACTTTTTATCCACAGAGCTACCTGTGTAAAGAGTATATTTCTCAATTATGTTTTTATACAGCAAACAGCTTCCAATATAGAACTATAATTTCCAACATAATTAAACTGCTAGGACTAATCGCTTAATTTTATATCAACTATGTAATTTGAAAAATGGTATAACCCAACTGCTTTCAAAATTTTCAACTGTAACTCATAGTATGAAATACATTTTACACAAGGACTCAAACACATGCATATGTATATGTTACATACACAAAAAATTCGAGAAAAAATTTCCACGCCCAACTGATTTCATAACCCATTAATAGGTTATCTGCCATATGAAAAACACTGGTGAAAAGATAATAACTAGGTCTAAAAATGTTTTTAAAAATGCAAATGACGTGATTTTACATATAGAAGATCCTAAAGAAGTCACAAAAACTATTAGAGCTAATAAACTATTTCAGCAAAGTTGCAGGATACAAGATCAACACACAAAAAACAGTTGTATTCCTCTACACTAGCAATGAACTATCCCAAAAGAAAATTAAGAAAAACAATTGCACTTGCAATAGCACCAAAAAGAATAAAACACTTAAGGAATAAAGGTAACCAAGGAAGTGTAAGAATTCTACACTAAAAACTACAGAACTTTTTTGAAAGAAATTAAAGAAGATCTAAATAAATGGAAAGACATCCCATGTTCATAGATTGGAAGACTTAATATTGTTACTAACAATACAATACACCCCAAAGCAATCTCCAAATTCAATGCAATCCCCCTATCAAAATCATAACAGCCTTTTTTTGGAAAATGGAAAAGCTGATCCTCAAATTCATATGGACTTTAAAGGGGCCCTGGACAGCTAAAACCATCATGAGAAAGAACAAAGTAGGTGGACTCACATTTCCTGATTTCGAAACATCACAAAGTTACAGTAATCAGACAGTACTAGTACTGTCATACAGGCAGACATAAAGACCAATGGAAGAGAACTGAGAGTTGAAAAATAAACCCATACATCTATAGCCAATTAATTTTTTAACAAGTGTGTCAAGACCATTCAATGGGTAAGAACAGTCTTTTCAAAAAATGGTGCTGGGACAACTGGATAGCTAAATGCAAAAGAATGAAGTTAGACACCTATGCAAAAATTAACTCAAAATAGATCAAATACCTAAATATAAGAACTAAAACCATAGAACTCTGAGAAGAAAACAGAGGAGTAAAATTTCAAGACCGTGGATTTGACAATGGCTTTTTACGTATGACACCAAAAGCATAAGCAACAAAAGAAAAAAGCGATAAACTGGAATTTAAAAAAATTAAAAAGTTGTGTACATCAGAGGACGCCATCAATAGAGGGAATAGACAACCCACAAAATAGGAAAAACATTTGGAAATCTTATTCTGATAAGGGTCTAGTATGCAGAATATATAAAAAAAAACTCCTGCAACTCAGCAACAAAAAGACAAACAACCCAATTTAAAAATGGCCAAAGGACCTGAACAGACACTTCTCCAAAGAAGATATACAAATGACCAGCAAGCACATAAAAACATACCCAATGTCAACAGTCAACAGACAAATGAAAATCAAAATCACAATGAGATACCATCTTATGTCCAAGAGGATGGCCATAAAACAAAACAAAACAAAAAACCCAGAAAACAGTAAGTACTACAAAGACGTGGAGAAACTGGACCCCTCATACATTGCTGATGGGAATGTAAAATGATGTAGCTGCTGGGGAAAACAGTTTGGCAGTTCCTCAATAAATTTAATCTAGAATTATCATATAACCCAGCAATTCTAGACCTAGGTTTATTTGCAAAAGAACTGAAAGCAGGTGTTCAAACAAAAACTTGTACATGTAGCAACATTATTCATAACAGCCAAAACGTGGAAACAATCCAAATGTCCATCAACTGCTCAACAGAGAAACAAAATGTAGTATACCCATACAATGGAACAGTTATTTGGTGTTAAAAGAATGAAGTCTGGCGGTTCCTCAAAAAGTTAAACATAGAACATATAACCCAGCAATCCCTATCCTAGGTTATACCAAAAACATGAAAAGCAGGAACGCAAACAGAAACCTGTACACCAATGTTTACTGCAGCACTGCTCACAATAGCCAAAATGTGGAAACAACCTGTATATCCACCAACAGATGAATGGATAAACAAAATATGGTATGTGTAGGTTAAGATTGTGTGTCAACTTGGCTGGGCCATGATTCTCAGTGTTTTAATGTGATCACTCCCATGATTGAATATGCTGTGAGTAGCCAATCAGATGAAAGTGAGTCTCCTTCGGGGTGTGGCCTGCATCTGAATATAAGCAGACGTTCTGGCTTTTTGCTTACTCTGGATCCTGCAGCTGCCTCCTGTCATCTGTCTCTGGTTCTTGGGACTTGAGCTGTCAGCTTATCTGCTGGACTTGGAATTTGTCAATCTTCAAAACCTGTAGGCAGAACCCTGCTCTCTGACCTGCCAATCTTGGGTTCACCAGCCCCTGCAGCTATGTGAATCAGGAGAAACCCTGACGCCTTGCCTGCCGATCTTGGAATTCATCAGCCTTCACAGCCTGTGAGTGGAAGTGCTGTTCTCTGACCTGCCAATCTTGGGCTCACCAGCTTCTGCAGCTGCGTGACTTGGGAGAGGCCTCTACCCTGATCCACAGATTTGGGACGTTCTAGCCTCTACAACTGTGTGAGCTGTTTCCTTGATATAAATCTCTCTATATATATATATTTATACCCTTTACTGGTTTTGCTTCTCTAGAGAACCCAGCCTAAGAAATCTGATACTGAGAGTGGGGTGCTGCCCTAACAGATACCTAAAATGTGGAAGTGGTTTTTAAACTGTGAATGGATAGAGGTGCAGCAGCAGCAGCGGACCGGAAGCAGCAGAGAACCAGCAGCAGCAAAACCAGGAGACCAGAGCGAGATGGTGCTGGAGCCGACACACGGAGTGAGAGAGCTGAGTGCCTGTGTGCAGGAGGCTTCCTGGCAGAGTGGGGTGCCTCTGGGCACTTATCAGTGGAGGTAGGCTTGCTGAC